GATTATTACTTTTTTAAACATAATTTTGAGTTTTAAGAACTTATCATCATGCTAATTTAATTCGGTTAGAATGAAATCAAAAATTGATCACATTCGCAAACAAAACCGCACATACAAATAAATATGGTTGTACTGAACATGTTGACCCGCAAAGTACACAATGAGAAAGCTGTTGGTAAGACTGGCAGCCATATGTTATCCGCCAGAAATAAACATAATAAACTTATTTTTCAATTTATTCATTTTTCACACCCTATTAACATAAAAACATGAAATACTTATTACAGCTTTAATGTTTTCCAATAATTTGAATATAAATATTTTATTTTACAGATTAATTTTTTATTTTGACATATTTTTAAGCTGCATTTGTGGCATAAATTTGTAAGTTTTTGAAGGTGTGTGTATTTAATCGATGCAAAATGTGTAATTTCACCATAAAACTAGATGCGTTTAAAAAAATGGACTAGTTATCAATATTTTAAAGTAATTAATGTCATACTTTTATTCAAATGACTTTTTCTACGATTGTCATCTCTGATTTTGCAGACTAAATAAAAACATCAATATGCTTTTTCCGCATCACCTCACAAAAATATCCAATATATTTATGTGGTTATCTTGAATGTCATTTACATGTATTGGAAAAGATCACAGTACTGTTTTAAATATTTCAGTGAAACATTGCAGTAAAGTCAGTTAAAACCTTATTTGCAAAGAGACTCCACCTTCTGCGCTTTTTAAGGTACAATGAAGTTTTATATGCGGTGCGTTGTCCATAGTTTAGACCATCTATTAGTCACACTAAGGTTGTTGTTACTCACTGAGAAACAAATGGTGTTGCTTGGGTTACATCTTAAGCCAGGTTTACCTATATGTATATTTAAACTTGTCACAACACATACGAGCGTCGCTTTTGATTATTGTTAAATTATTTTAGACGCAAAATTCAGCTTCGAAACAATTTTGGCAATAATTCCAATATAATTGAGATTGCATTTAACGAGAGTTCTGAGAAGATTACTATGATGATAGGACGAGGATTCTAGGTCCAAATCTATTAAGAATTGAGGAGGTTAGAAATAAAGGGGTTTAAGTGACTTTGATCTATTCTTTTCATCGACTTTCTCTTTTGATAGTCACAGCTTTATAAACAGATTTTGCGCTATTTCTGCCAGATAGTTTGATAAAGAAGGTTCTCATCTAGCATGCAGAATGGCACACGAATCAAGGAATGTGTTAGCAGCTGAATTATTAACGAAAGACAAAGTTGATGAAGAGAATCTATCAAAGTCACTTACACCCCTTTCCTTGGAACCCCTTCAATTTAAAATTAATTCTGAAATTCCAAGAGAGAATAAATTCCGATAATTCCAATGGAATTGAATTTTGAAGGTTCAACCTCAAAGGAATTCTGAGAAGAGTTTCAAAGTTATATTGTGACGGATTTTTGTTTTGATAATTCTGAGGAAATACTATGGGAATTCTAAGGGGAATACGCATTGAATTTCCAATTGAATCCAGGGAAGAAGTCCAAGATTATTTTAAGCAGATATTTCTGAAATTTTTGGGTTAATTGCATGGAAATTCTAAGGAGATTTCACAAAAATTTAAAATGGATTTATGGAAGGAGCCTCAAGGAGTTCCTAGAAGAATGAATACAATATTGAAAATGATCTACTTTAACTAATCATCTGTTATTACTCAGGCATGGAAATCATTTACATTCATTTCATACATTAATTTACATTCATTTGCCTCTAACTTTTTTTTATCAACAGTATTCCGCAAAATGATGTACAGAGCTTTTGTAGGTTTTATTATTAGCTACAACTTTTGCTCATAACTCAAATACTTATCTCTTATGCATCACGAACTAGAGCGGGCAGAACTTGTTACTGTTTTTCAGTTAATGTAAAATACATTCACTGAAAAACAGTAGTGGCTTCTGTTCGCTCTGGTTCGTCATGCACCAGAGATACGGATTTGACTTGTTAACAAAACTTGTAGCTAATAACAAAACCTACAAAAACTCTGTACATCATTTTGCGGAATGCTGTTGGTCTAAAAAGTTAGAGGCAAATGAATGTAAATGAATGCACGAAATGAATGCAAATGATTTTCCATGCCTGGTTATTACTTCATGCGTGTATTTAACGATACACATAATTGGAGATGCTTTACGTCAAATATCAGACTTAAAGTGGATATTTTATACGATACATGAGGAGATTAAATTATAGAGTTTATAGCTCCGTTATAGTACGGAAGTGTGAAAATTGTACAGTTTTGACGAAGGTACGAATTTTACATTTTTCAAAATTCTTACAATCCCCACCCAATTAACAGCTGTACATAATAGTTAAAAATGTTTAAAATGTTTGCAGCACGTAAATTTCCAAATAAAAAACTGCTATTAATTTGAACAATTTTACCTGGTGTCTCACTTTCCGGCAGGTGCTTCCAAAAATTTTATATTTTGTAATTGTAAATTTGAACATATTTGTAGTTCTTCGGCGAACGTTTCAGCTCAATTGATCACTATCTAACAAAGTTACATCATGTCAAAGATGACCATTTTGTTTGAAAATCGGCATGCGCTGCTATTTTATCGAACACAACTGTACAAATTTCACACTGCCGTAACGGAACTATCAACTCTTTACTTTGATGTCCTCATCTATCGTATAAAATGTCCACTTTAATTCTGATATTTGATGTTAAGCATTTCCAACTACGAAAATAATCTATTTCCAAGAATTTTGTTGATTGTTCTGCAAAACATTTCAAGAATGCAGTATTATTTTTGCAAAAGCTTATTTGCCTTTAAGCTTAAGAGAAGGGGAATTATTCTAAAAAAGTTCTTAAGGTCATTCTGTGAAAAGTTCTTAGCGAATGTACCTAGATATATCAAAATTTTAAAGATTTCGAACGCAGAATCAAATATAAGATCATAAAAAATGGGAATTACTATTTGCTAGTAATCATGTACAACGTAAGCAAAAGTAAATTATTCAAATCACTTCAAATACTCTTTACAGGAGATTCCGTTGTGAGAGTCGATTAAATTAGAGGAATTTATGAAATTCGATTTTTAAGTTCCATGACATAAAAAGTTTATTTCAATAGCAAACCTTTTTTGAATTTCTATGTTACCATATAAATGGTTACTTATTTATTATTTACAAGTCACTATTTGGTCACTACTTCCGTAATTTTAGTCACTAAAGTCACTGCTATAATATCGCATCAGTACTACCAGTCCTGTTTTTGGGAATAATGGGAGCAAACCTTCATATCACGCGTTCTCATTGACTTCGTTCCGTAGCTTATTAACTAAAGTATCGTACCAATCGCATAATTGACTTGTTAACTCTGAAATCATCGACTTATTTAAAGTTTTCTGCTCTATAGACCCAAAATGGGCGATTAAGCCGAAGTAGTTCTCTACCCTATTATGCGTAATTTTGTCATCAGAAAACGAGGCGTTTGCATGAAGAAAACAACAAGTGGTTCCCCTAACACAGTCGCCGAATATTGATACCAAGCACGTAATACTACGTCTTATCTACGGTCGTGACTTAGATACAACTCCCTACTTTTTTTTTATTTAATCGGTGTAGATACTCTTTGAATTTAACCAGTTTGTCCTCTGAACCTACTAAAAATACTCTCGTAACTTTTCCAGAACTATCACTGAAAATTCTACTGACTACCTCGGAATGGTCTTTTGGCATTCCCGAAAGCCGCTTCTGGTTTCTGGACTTGCTCTGGATACCACCTTAAATTCTCTTTTGACCCCCTTAAAGCCGAGCAAAATTCGCAAAACATATGTTGTCGCCAAGATTTACAGCTCCCACTACCGCAGTCACCAATGGGCTACCGTGTCACCAGGCAATAACCATTCATAGGATTACGTGAAAGCCTACGCGTTGGCCAGCAGCACCCCACGGTGTTTAAGCTAGAGCCGGCGGCTCCGTTGACATTCCAAGGCACCTGGATATATTCCCAAGTCCCAAATCATCGGTCCAGGCCGAACCTGACCATTTCATGTTTTATTCATACATGAGCCACGCTGCTGGTGGAATGGTGCACCACTGGCGCTGCTGTCGCATTTGTACCCCATTATTCAACCCCGTGACTTTGACGACCTTAAATCACCTTGACTCGGTTTCCACACTCATTCATCGGGTTTTTGCCTAGCCTTTAGTAGTTTTAAAAATAGGCAAACAATTGAATTATTTAGCTGCAAAATCGATTAGAATCTTCCGGCAATCCGCCGCTGCTGCCGAGTTCAACCGGGAAATGCCTCCGGTCGTCCGTCGGCGACGTAATCAAATCTGTCACGGTGCACCGTTTGGGCTGTGTGAAGCGCTCTGCCGTTTGCATAAAATTAAGATAAAAACACTGCATAAATTTCACCCGAATGTGCCCACACGGTGCTTTTTAATGTAGACAATTAAGAATAGTGCACCGGTCGCAGTGTGTACCTCTAGAAGCATATACTTCCTGCGTGAACGGGCAGAGAAGCTGCGATCCTATCGTTTATGGCTTGAAATTGAATTTCCTGCTTGTTAACAGGCCATCAAAATTGATCATTGTCACTTTGCTGTTGTTGCTGAATGCCAAATGGAATGGAGAAATCGAGCGGCTTCGGGGTGGTGTTTGCATACAATGCAAGGTATCATCATCATCTGGCGGTGTGGTTGTGGTAGCAGTCGTCAAACCATAACACCCTGATGCTTAATAATAGACTCTCATCGGGAAGTTAATTATAGGGCAGATTAAACTCGAAAATTTCTTACTTTATTAAAGCTTTTATTTAGGTTGCAGCTTCAAAAGAAACCCGGAGGTTAACTCCTCCTTCTTCGGGCACTCGGCAAGTGACATTTGCCGCAACGCAACGGTAATAAAATAATTACTGGTCGGAAGCCAGGGGACGATAATTACCTCCCCTTTACTCGAGGAAAACAGCTGTTGCATGGATCAATTTCACTTACCGAGCAGTTTGGACACGGCACCCTGTTGCGTTAGCATATGCTGCGCCAGGTCATAGCCCCGCAGACCGAAGCGGGACAGCTCCAGAAGTCGATGTTGCGACACCAGGCCGGCCAGAGCTTGGGCGTTGGCGGGGTGACCGGCTGCCACAGCGACAGCCGCTGCAGCGCCGAACAGATTCGTCGCCGACTGGGGCAGGTTGCCGGGCGAGGGGAGGTTCGGCGAGAGACCAACTGGAAAGAAAAATAGAATTGGAGAAAATTCATTACTGGATTGAAAGGCCTTGGTGGCTAATATTCGGAGACTGTTCAGGACTGTTCCTAGAAATGCAACTGGACGGATGTTTGCTAAGTCATTTTTAAAATGGTTTTGATTGTCGGAGTTGGGAGGAAATGCTATGCTTATATAATCATGAAGTTTTAGTGCGATAATTTATTAGCCAAAGAAAGTTCTGAAGCCGATAGGTTGATAGTTTTGCTATAGTACGGCAGTGTAAAAATTGAACAGAAGTTAATTTTTTTGGCTACTCTATCTTACGGGAAGGTACAAGGGGTAAATCGAAAATCAAAAAGTGCAACCATCACGAAAAGGTGTAAGGTTTTGAACGCTTATAACTTTGTCATTTATAGATGAAATTTAAATCAAAATACACCAATTGATAGGAAATGACTTTAAAAATCTGTTACAAGTAATGCTTTTCCATTTTTACTATTAAAAATTTAGGAAAAATGTACAAATAGTAATTTTATTACTGTTTTCATAAAATAAAGCCAACCAAGAACATGCAGGTAGTGGGTGTCGATGGAGTGGTCAACTTTGAGTTGAAAAACTTGACTGTTAACTTCTTCGAGCACCTTGCAGCGGTCTTCAGTAAGTGTTAGGGGCTTGGCTGCTTCCCAGCAAGCATGGTGGCAAAGACCAGTTCCAAAAACTATCGCCCCATCAGCCTCTTGACCACCTTCTCAAAGTCAAAATCAAAAAGTTAATACTCAGCCGTCTGCTGGTATTTTCAAATGATTACAACATCTCTCTTAAAGAGTAATTCGGGTCTGGGAAAGGCCACTCTACCATCCACCAACTCGCACGGGTTATTAACATCATCAAGCGGAACAAGCCTGTTTTCAATACATCTGCCATGGCATTGTTGAACGTTGAGAATTCGTTAGATAATGTCTGTAATGATGGCCTCGTGTATAAGTTGCAACGTTAAAACTTCCCGATCTTCCTTCTCAAGATCCTTAAATACTAATTGTCGGGCAGATCATTCCAGGTTTTCTTGAACAGTTCTCATTCTTGATTAATATGTCACCGATTTCATCAGACTCTCTCTCTCTCTCTCTCTAAAAAAAAAAAAATATATTTATTTATTTATTTATTTAATACAAGTATTAAGCGTAGTACAAATAACCACATGTGTTCTCAAAGCTCGTACTACACTGAGAGATGATCAGTTCCGTCTCGAAAATAATTGTTTACATTGATTTTTAAAGTATACGTATGAGGCAGCTTGTTTGCAATTCATAGGCAGTTCATTCCATAATTTCGCAGCACGTTGATGGAAAGAGCATCTGTAGATCTCTGTACGACATCTAGCGAGTGATAAATTTCTTGAGCGAGATGACCTCAAAAATGAAAAGAAATTATGCAAATAAACAGGACCTTCATTCAGAATTTTGTAAGTTTGGGTACATACTCTCAGCTTTACGTAATTTTCATAAGTGCAACCTAAAATCCCCTTGTGATTGATGCCAATATGTTCAAAGCGAGGAATTTTATAAACATATCTTGTAACAGCATTAAATGCAAGTTGTAATTTTCGACTATTATTGGAGGAAGTAGATGTATATAGAACATCAGCATAGTTAAATAGCGGAACTAGAAGACTTCGAGCTAATTTCAAACGAATATGTTTAGGAGTACAGTCTCTCAACAGCACTAATGAATGCAGACCAAAAAATACTTTTTTTGAAACACTGTTTACTTGTGCAGTCCAGTTCAGATGCGAGTCCATTATTATTCCCAAATTCTTAACAACATCTGAATATGCTATTGCGGTATCACCTATCATAATGCAAGAAGCATCTGAAATGCTTACTGATCTATTTTTAAATATGATTGCTTGAGTTTTGTTTGCATTTAATTGTAAGCCGTTTGTTACACTCCATTCACAAATTTTTGAAATATCCGAATTAACACAACGTACGATATTTTGTAAATTTTCGACTTTACCAGAGAGGTATAACTGAACATCATCAGCATAGAGATGGTAAGCACAATAATTTAAAATACTTGGAAGGTCATTGATGAACATGGAAAATAACAGTGGACCTAGAACAGATCCTTGTGGCACACCACTTGTTACATTCAAAAGTTCCGATTTTGTATTATTAAATTCAACATATTGCGTTCGTCCCGTAAGATATGAGGAAAGTAAGTTTACAGAAGTTGTATCGAGATAGAAAAAACTACGTAGCTTCCGACATAACAATTTATGATTGATAGAATCGAAAGCTTTACTAAAATCCAAAAGAACTAGAACTGTTAGATTACGTTTGTCAAGCGCAGTTTTTATATCGTTTTCTATTTTAATCAAAGCTGTTGTAGTACTGCAATGTTTACGATAACCAGATTGTAAAGGACATAGTAACGTATTATGAATCAGATAATCGTTTAATTGTTTAGTCAGAAGACTTTCAAAAATTTTGGAAATAGCAGGTAGGATGCTAATCGGTCTGTAGTCCTTGTTGTTCATTGGATTATCAATTTTGCCAATAGGTACAACACGTGCTATCTTCCAAAGCTGTGGAAATGTTGAAGTTGTTATAATGTGATTGTATAAGTTCGTTATGGTAGGAAGAATGACAACAAGAGTTTTTTTCAAAACGCTGAGTGGTAACTGGTCAAAGCCGATACAATCACTGGACGCGGAATTGAATTCGGTCAGGACTTCTTCATTCGTTACATTCCTAAATGAAAAAGAAGATGACGAGGACCTACCAGCCACAGATTGTTCATCAAAAGTAATAGGAGCTTGATTTGACATGAAGAACTGATTCAATGATTCGGCAGTGATGTTACACACATCACCACCACCTGCTCTACTTTGAGTTTTTGAAAGTCCCAAACGTTTTATATTCTCCCAAAGTTTATTGGAAGAAAGAGAAGGGTTAAGGAGCCGAGAGAAGTAAGTGTACTTAGATTGTTTCACTACACGGTTTGACCTATTTCGCAACCTTGCAAAAGCATTCCATTTAGCTGCGCTGGGTTTATCTGTTTTCCATTTATCATAAGCTTCAGATCGTTTTTGGAAGAGATTTTTGATGTATGGATTAATCCATTAATCTCTCGTAAAAACCGTAAACCAGCTCCTTTCAACTCCAATCGCTTATCGAATACCGCCAGTCAGAACTCGTTTGAAATGCAATCCATCTCCGGCGCTGGACAGCAACCAGCTGATGGTGACCTCCTCGCAGCAACAGAAAACAAAAAAACATTGTATATTCGATTGGGGCACAATAGGCCTCCGCGCGCGCGCAGAAACCCCGAACCTCAAAGTACGAAAATGGACACCTTTGGTCACTGGATGCCACTTCTAGCCGCCACCACGCGGAGAACAATAGGCCCATATATCCTTGTAGCTTCGCACGCCCCAGGCGTGTAAAAATGTGCAACCTTTTGTGTTTTTCATGAGAGACTCCCCCTGCCCTGAAGCCCGTTCTCCGCGCCACCGCCTGCGAAGAAGACCAAACGTCAAAAATTTATTACGTCCCTTCCGAATGGATTTATGCTTCCTTTCTGCTCTGTGCGCCTTCACCTATCACAAACGCACACACACACGCGCAGTAGCACCGAGAGCGGAACTGTTATTATGCTAAGTAAATACAATCAGCATTACGCGCTGCTCCTTTATGCTCTAGGGCGGTTAATATGCACTCGGGTGGGTTTGAGGGGGGATGAAAGGAAGATCCCGTGGGATCGCCGGCCGCTATTTCGCTTCGCGGAACAAATAAAGTCACTAAAAGGCTACTGAATAAATTTGTACCGACCCGAGTCCGGCGGGGTTCCGCTTCTCTGGGGCAATTGTTTTTCAATATGGATACTTTTACAATATTTTTATTAAATTTATTGACATCTGAATGAACAATCTTACCTTCTGGTTAGGCAGACTAAGCGCGCGCGGCTGGAGGGATCAACGGCAGCGCAGGAAGCCCTTACGGATTATTTATGGTTATGGTCGTTTGAGTCGGGCCGAGGTCACTTGCTTCAAGTCGGATGTTTTTGACAGAGACATCTTTATTCTGCGATTGCCGAGATGGGGGTCGGCAGGGGAGGCCAACAACGGATGCATCATGATGGAATTGCAAATGTCCTGCTGTTTTTTTTTCGGGGCCTTCTTCGGCGCAAACGAGGTGACGGTGGCGCTTCCAGATCAAAGCTGACTGACGCAGCCGTCATCGCGTTGTTTGATTATGCTGATTGGCAGCTGCTCAGTCGACCGCGCCTAGTGGGAATTCGAGGTTAGAAAACAGTTGCAGACTAGTTTTGAACTGCCTTTGGACGCGCCCTTGAACTTGGCCCCCATCCCGTACGTACGGTCATTACTCGATCATTAAGGGCTTTGGTTCAGAAATTATACACAATGAGAAACACTTTAGCCAAACCGGACCCCGAAGGACCTCATTAAACCAGTTTCCGGCTGAGTCCGGCTATTGCAGGGGGGAGCCAGGCGATCCGAACCTGTGATCGCTTTCGCATTATCGAACCGCGGGAAAAAGAAACCGAAACCCTTCCTCGTCATTTGTTGCTGAAAGTTAATCGCATTTTAATACGTTTATAATCATCAGCCGTCTCCAGTTGGTTGCTTGCAAACCCAGTGAGTTTGGTTTGCATGTGCAAACTCTAATCGGGGAAAATTGCATACGAGGTTGCAGGTTGTGTGTGAAAGATGGTTCCGAGCGCCGCCACGGGTAGTCCATCTCCGGTAGTTGCTCCGGATCAGAGACAGATAGGAAGAGCAAGTCGCTGGGCATTCGGAGGTTCAAGGGAAGCAAATCGAAGGCGCGCGCATGGACCCGACCCGGGCGAATTATTAACTTCGTATTAAGGCGATCGCTTGCACAAGACCCAGAGAGGGGAACCTCAATAATGACATGCACACATCATCATTATCAAGCTCGGCAAGTTCCTCGAAAGGAACGCGAATGGATTTTCTCATGAACTACTACCACTATGT